TTTTTTTTTGACTCGTTTTATTGTAATTTTCCTATGCACATGATTTTCTTTTTTGACTTCTTGAAAATGTTCTGGTAATTTTTGCACCAGGGAGCGAGGCGTGTGGCTGGGCTTGAGCGACGTCGACTCTCCGGGGAAACTGCTCTGGGTGAACGGATCTGAGGCTCAGGACGGGGAGGAGGGCCAGCAGCCGCGCTCGTCCATCTCCGGCGGAAACGTGTGCGTGTCCTTTGATCAGAGCGGTCAGACCAGCTCTCACCTCTGCGACTCCAAGAGGGCTTATGTTTGCCAATACAACCCCCACGGTACGCTCACACACACACGCACACACACACACACACCCTCTGATCATATGCAAAAAGGCGCATTCAATACAAATGCAAATTTCACCTCGAGCACCAAACAGCAAGGTTGATTATATGAATTTTCCACATCTTTAGGTTGTGCAGGCGCCTTCAGTATCACAGCTAATCAATCTAAGTGTAGGTCAGCCTTTCTTAAAGCTCCTCTCATAATTGGAGCACAAATTGTATAGATTGGTCCTTGTGTGAGAGCTTTGATTTCCGCCACTTTCAACATAATAAGTGTCATCATGTTTTCCTTGGACTCTAAGGCAGCCTGAAGTTACCCGAATCAGATTTTTTTATTTTTTGCCGTTGTCTGACCTCCATCTGATCTTTCCAGATCTTCTCAGGTCTCATTTTTAGAAATGGAACCCAGACAACTTGGACATGTGGTCCTAAATCTGATATGAATCTGATGTTTCCAGATGTGACCGTTGATACTCAACAAACGTCCTGGTACAGTTCTGAAGCGGGAAGATAAATAACAACAATGGCCGACAATAACACGCATTAAGTTGTTACTGTACTGGCTCCAGTTGGACAACAACTTCAAAAACAGCTCCACCTTTATTACCCACGTGCGCTAACGCTGTTTGCACACTCGCTACGAGCGGCGTTAATGCATCAAGTTGAAGCACCCGAAAACTGAAAATAAATTTCACTCTGCTGGAAGTGACAAGACTATTGCTGTTGTCATTTCTGGCTCTATTGTAGCAATAAATGAGAAAAATGTTGCACTTAAAATAAATGTAATATTAAATCTTCAACATGTGGGCATTTAGCAAAATGTGAAAGGGCTTTTAAAATGTTTCCTACGAAATGAGCTCGTTGCAAAACCATTAAATGGAGAGCACACTTGATTGCTTCCCAAGTGCCAAGTGCAAAATGTTTACTTAATCTGAATGCTAAGTGTGCCACATAATGTGAATGAGTCACCGAAAACAAAGAAGACTTTAAACTGAAAAAGTTTCACTCTGACTGGTATTTCCTCAAAGTATTTCAAATACAGTAGGATAGAAATCAGGACGTGTACAGCATGATAGTTGTGTTATGCTTTAGGTGGATGTATGAGTGTGTGACTAGCAGCTGATTTCACTGGTTATCTGTCTTTCACGGTGCGTCATTTGTTTTCAGCAGTTCGTCTTTCTTCGTGTCACTCTTCAGGAAATAAATGATTCAAGTCTTGTGTTTTTTTTTTTTTTCATTCGTGTTTTTTCTTGTTTTTTGTCTCTGTGACTTTCTAATAACAAACGTTTGTTTCTGATTTCTTTTAAGCCGGCCTCTCTTTAGTGACGAATTTGAATTTGGCAATTTGAGCATAAAATCCCTAATTATTATGATGAGGTTTGTAAGGGAAAAAAGATTTAGATGATTGGCAAAACTAACTAAGAACAATTGCTCAGAGTATCTGATTGGACTTGCTTGTCCAGGAAACCAGTGTGACTGAGCTTTACTGGTGAAGCTGGTGTGCTTCCAAGCTTGCAGCAATTAAAATTAAATTATGCTCAGGCTCAAACGCTGCTGCTGTCATAATTCAGCAGTGTCCAAAATGCTCTATAATTGTGCATCTCTATAGCAAATCTAACTGGTTAGTAAAATAGAGCAACTACTGCGCTGTACTGTACTGCATTGTTTTCATTTCTCTAACAGACAATGCTTCATATTTCCACCGATATTTTTAATTAAGTAAACCACTTTGCTAAAATTTTGGGATCACATTACTTTCAGTATATTTAGTAACTGAAGATGCAAGTGTATTTCGGTAAATTAGAATATAATCGATTTTTATTTTACTAATTATATTCAAAATGTGAATCTTGTGTTTTATGTCTATTACGTACAGAGTAGTAGATTTCAAGTACTAAACTACATCAGTGCAGCTGGTGTGGAGGCAATCAGTCTGTGGCTCTGCTGAGATGTTAGGGCGGCCCGGCTTTAATGGGGCTTTAATAGGTTCTGGAGTAACTTTAGCACAAAGAATGTAACAGTTGTGGCCCGATGTCCTGGATTCGTCTTCGTGTGGTGGATCTGGAAGCACTGCCTCCAGCTGCTCTCCGTGCCTCGTAAATTTCTCTCAAACCTCTTGAAACCTCTGTGGTTTCTCTTGCTGTTTGAGCTCATTTTTCTACTGTACTTTTTTCTTCCACTCAACTTTTTTTGATTAATATGCTTGGACACAGCACTCTGAACAACCAGCTTCTCTAGCAATGACTTTTTTGAAGCTTATCCTTATGTTAGAGAGTTTTAATAAAAGTAAACACATGAAATCACTCTGTGTAATGAATCTAAATGGTATTAAATAACTCTTTATTCTGTTTTTTTTTTGTTGTTGTTTTTTTCCTGTTTCAGTGCGCGTTCCAGATGCCGGAGTGTACCTGCTGGGAATGGCCGTCTTTCCCTCCGACCATCCGTTATTCCATTTACCAGCCACTCTGCTCTCTGCTCCACAGTCTCTGAGCAGCGTCATAGAGGTAAAGAGGGATGTCTGTTTATTTAGACGTTATTATTTTAAAGCTTATTCAAGCCCCCTAGGTGACATGGAGATTTTTTTCTTTTTGCAATACTTCTTTTTGCTTTCCCTCGCCAAAAGAAGTCTATTTTGTTTACAGTCACAATGAAAACAAATGCTGATTTAAAATTGCGCTTAGCCAATGTGCACGTTTAAAGATGTTCAGTGAAAACATGTTTGTACATTCTTAACTTTTTTTGTGCAGAAACTGGTTGAAAATCAATTTATTAACTGTGTTCTTGTTGGTTTGTGAAAAGTTGAGACGGGGCTGCACATGAAAACAGCCCTTTATAAATCATTCAGACTACTAACATGGAAAAGGCCCCTTGAAAATAATTCAAAAACAGCCCAAATATTTTCTCTTTCTCTCCTTCTTATGGCCGGTTTTTGTTCATGTCTTAGAAGGGATGGAAAGCCATTGCTTGACTTGTTTTGCTTTTACATTTTGCGCATAAGTTTGCTGAAAGAAAATGATATAAAACTTCAGATTATCTCACCAGCAAGATATTAACATACATACAAAACCCTTCCAAAAACCCTGTATTATAGCAGAAAGGCTTTCGGTTTTCAAGTTGTTGGATGACCTGACTAGTACATAATTGTGAGGTAAAATAAACTGTAAGTCTACTTTATTTATATAGTTTTTTTCCCCCCCCCCCGCTCTCAGATGCTGATGTTTCCTGTGATGAGCTTTGTTCAGGCTGGCCGTCTGTCGTCTTTGGAGATCATCGTCCAGGAGCAAAGCTCTACAGTCCACATCAGATTCCAGACCTACAGACCCAAATGTCCCGGCCAGCACCTGCTGCTGCCCAGTGAGTCAGCCACAGAAACACAGTCATGTACTCTGGACATGTAAAAGACCTGCAGAGTTTACCAGCAGGGGTTAAAAATCACACACACACACACACACACATAGACCACCTGAGCCCACACCTCCAATTACACACATATTCTCTTACACTGACCCCCCTGTCTGAAGACATTACGGTAAATGACAGGGAAAGTGTGTGAATGGAGGCAAATGGTCAAACCGGAGAGGAAAATGAGAGATCAAATAAACAAGATCCTCTCCTTTGTGAGGCCTTCAGTCTTTAACAATCGCCACACTTACAACAATATTCATGCAGAGCTGCACGCAGTGACAAATTTCAAATCTCTAGTTTTTGACTCCGAAGTAAATTTATAACAACAAATAAATTAAAATAAACGTTTAATGTGTTTTTCCTAATCTTTCTGACTTGTTTAAAACAAAGACAAAATAATTTGGAGTTCACATTTTAAACTTCCTTCAGAGTATTATCTTAACAACTTGCACTTTCAGCTCATTTAGCATATTTATCATTACCAAGAGATGCCACCATGTGTTTTTCCTTGAGAGTGTAGACCAATTCCTCTGACTCTGATTTTTCCAAACATTTGCAAACATTTTCCAAATCCAAAATTTTCAATAATAAAACAGTAAGTCATTTAGGCTTCCTGGAAGATTGGTTGAGAAACGACCAAAGCTACGAAGTGAAATGATCGGCATCCACTGAGGTCTGGCTCTCAGTGCTGGAAACCTAGTTGAACAGCTGGTATGCTGTTTTTAAATAGTTCCTTACAGCTTTTGTCCCTCCACTAAGTTCACTTCTAAACCCCTACTGGTAATGGTTCATTTTGAGTCTTTCTCCCATAGTAACAACTTCTACAGGGAAGATTGTTGTTAATGTGTTGTTCATGTTCTCTGATCAGAAAAAAAATATTTATTTTTAAGTTTCTGAATTCAATTCCATTCAAATAGAAAACAGTGCAATTAAAACAGAGACACACTGATCAGAGATTTGGGACAGATTTCTGATTTTTCCAAACTTTTGACCTTCTAAGTCTGATTTTAGATGATAAAATAAATGTGAGATGGTATTTGTGTGTTCCCTGGAGAATGATCAAAATGAATGTTCTGTCTCAGGTTGCGGCGGTCCGGCTTGTTCTCCGGTGGCGGTTTGTGTCCCCAGTCAAACACTGATCAAAGATTCGCCATCGTGCCCCCCGGCACAGCAGTGGTGTCCCTTCCAGGGTCGTTGCCTGGTTCTGTCCCAGCCATGCCACCCGTCCTCCTGTACTAACTGCACTCGGGGTCACCACCTGCCACCAGGAACGTCGAGGCCTCAGTACACCTTAAAGAATGAAATTGTCTTCACTCTCTCATCAGGACCAGCGCGTGTATTGGTGAGAGGAGGAGTTTTGGGGGGGTTTTTGCCATCAAGATCAGTTCGTCTTTCTGCTCTCTGTAACTTTGTTGTCTTGGATTATGCAGCAGATACAAGACCAGCTGGAGGACATCCTGGTCTCACCCGGCGACGTAATCGCTCTGCAGCACGACGGCGGCCCATCAGCTCTTCTTCATTGTCAGTCGTCTCAGCAGTCGCCGTGGCGACAGCCGGTCCTAGCCCTGAACTTGTCCGAGTGGTTCTGGATGAACGACACCAGACAGTCAGCAGATCTCCCAGATCTGAATGTGGAGAATTTTATAAGGAATGGTGAGGGCGGCTGGCTGGAGGAGGAAAGCTGCTGCATCAGAGTGCTGTACGTGGGACAGAACAGGACCCAGCTGCAGGGAGCCCAGCTGTCTGCTGGTTTACCCCAGCCTGGACTCTACAGCCTGCTGGTAAGTCATCAATTCTCATGCCATTTCCCAGCATGCATCTGACAGATGATGCATGCAAAAGAGAGGCCACTTAGGAACTCTTGGCCTGAAGGGAAAAGCCTTTTGTGCATGAATTTGTAGTTTTTATTGCTGTAGAGCTCAATCTTTAAGTAAATAATAGTGTTGTTGTTAGTGCTGTTTAAAGTGGTATTATTTTCTAATAAAAATAAATGGTTTTTTTTTGTTTGTTTTTACATTTTTATTAAAACTGTCACTATGTCCTGACATTATAAGACAGATAATCTGTGAAAAGGTCCAAGTCCTGCTTATGCTACTATTGCCGTCTGCTGAAATGCTATGCTCCTGGGCAAAAACAACTAATCAGAGAAAGATCTTAGCGCTGTCAATCAACCTCGTGTATTTGCTGCTCATTGAGCTAATGGTGGAGAAACAATCTGTTTCAGGAAAAATCTTGAAAAAAATGCCTGAGCATTAATGGCAGGTTCTGCTGACGAGGAGAAGCTTTGGCGCAGCAGAGAGAAAGAGGAATGGATGTGAGCAGAGCGTAAACACAAGCATGATTGACAGCGCTCACACCCTCCTCCTGGTTCAGATTGATTGTTTCTGACCAAGTGGTTTAGTTCTGTAATTAGCACAGGGGAAAGGCAGAGGAGTTACATTTTTTTCACAGATTTTCACCACATTGTGACAGTTTTAACAGATATGTAAAAAAAAATAAAAATAAAACATATTGGAGGTTTGAGCCACAATAAATGAGCCAAACTTTGCCGACAGGTTTCCACCACTGAACCATCATACCCATCTTCAGCATCCTGTCCGCTCAGAGTCGTACCTCCCCTCGGTTTGACGATCCTCCACCCTCCTCTGAACAACGGCACGGTCTACATGCAGCCCAACGACACCAGGCTGGTACTCAGCGTGCAGTCCCCCTACGAGACGAGGGTATCGCGACGAGGCAGCAGTGTCTCTGTGGCCTTCCAGTCGAAATGCCCTGCTGAGGTTTTGTCCAGCCCGGCTGTCTGTGATACCGGGTGGAAGTCGGGTTCAGCAGCCGAAGCCTGTGAACCCGTCTTGTATGCGGTGCTAGATCTGAGTTTGGGAGAAGAGGAACAGAGAGGCCAAGTGCAGGTGGAGCTGGAGGCGCATAATAATGTGACGGAAGCCACCCTGCCTTTGGTCGTCCACTTGGAAGACCCACTCGAAGGGCTAGTGGTGCAGCCAGACCCAGAACACAGGGTCCTGATGGAGTCCGTTGTGGTATGTTTATGTTTTTTTTTTTTGGCCAACTTTGGTGCTGTTTGTACCGTATGCAGTTAACATTAGTGTCGTCTGTCTGTGTTTTAGAGCTACACTGCGTCGGTGCTTAAAGGTTCTAATCCCACATTCAAGTGGACTGTGGATGATAAGCCCTACTTCACTTACTTCAACAGTGTTCTCAACGTGATCTACCAGAACGCTGCCATCTACAAGCTCACAGTATGTTTTGGTCGCAATTAATAATCAGCTTCTGTTACAGTGACTATGCTGAAAAGTTTAGTTTTTTTTTTCCCTCTGTAAAAGTCAATGACTCAAGACAATTAGCTGAGCAAACTTGGATGGATAACTTTTTCCAAATGACAATAAATGATCAGTAAATGTTAGCTTACTGTCATGCTTGAAAATTACATTTACCTGTTTGTTTTACCATAGTCTCAAGGGTGTTTGGGCATCCTTTAAAAAATCTCAAGGTCTAAAATGTCTTGAATTCATTTAAAAAAGATAAGTCAAACATGTTTCTCACAGGTCTTGTAGAGACATGAGTATTTAATGTTGCTTTTTTTTTTCTGTCAGGCAAAAATTTGAGTCGCACGCAGCTGCAGCTGCCGATAGCTAGCCGCTAGCATGTCCATGGTAGCTTATTTGTGTCTATCTTGGATAAGTGCAAATCTATTGCCAGTTGGCTGGACAACATTCATTTTTGCCTCTGGCTGACTTCTGTTGCCAAAACATATGAGGAGAGATGCAAAAAAACTTTTAAGCTAGGCTAAAGCTGAAGAGAGCCAAATGAGAAGGCTAAGAAAGCGGGCCTTTCAGTTTTGGCTGTGCTTGATTTTAATGCAGCAGGTTCCCCCAACCATCCATGATATTTACAGTCTTAAATGTAACTCAAGGCAGCATAAAAACCGTTTTAAAAAGTCTTACACTTGACTTGTGGAAGTCTGCCGATATCCTGATCTTGTAAATCTTAAAGTTGGACATGGCTCCAGACTACAAACTCCTATGAACTGTCCTGCATCTCTTCCAGGTGACGGCCTCAAACCATGTCAGCACACTGACGAAGCACTTCAACATAACTGTGGATCGACTGCAGCCGATGGCCAACCTCACAGTCAAGGGGGTGCCGGATGTGGTTCCTCAGGGGTCCAATCAGACACTCACCACCTCTGTGCTCGTGGACATGTCGGTGCCAGCCACATTCCGGTACGAATCATTGGAGAAGGGTCAGAGGGTCACTGAATTAGTAATCCACAGCTTTTCAGATATATACCCGGTGATATTCTGTTTATCTTTCACTGCTTATGAAGTAATAAAGCTGTCCATCTTCTCAATCTGTCTCTTTTTCCTTTCATTTCTCAGCTTTGAGCTTCCTGTATGCCATAACAGCACCACAGCAGTCGAAACAGCTTTAAATTTATAACCGTGTGGTCAGGGAAGATTGCTGACAAGAATTTTCCTCTCTGTGCAACTGTTTCCCCAGTACTCCTTTTTTCCCCTTCCTAGCCTTTTTGCTCTTCTCCCTGCCCCCCAATCCCTTATCCACTCCTCTATCTTCTTAGTCTAAAGAGCCTTCAAGTTTTTAGCTTTCCGTTTCTTCTTTTCCAAACCCTCCATTGAACCCTTTTTAAGAAAAGATTCATATTTTCCAGTCCAGCGTGTATATTTTTGTGTACCCAACCCGTCACTCGCATTGTGAAACTTTAGGCATCAAGCGGAGAGAAAAAGTAGATCCTCTCTTGTTGACCTTTCATTGACTCTTTTCTTCTGCAGATGGTCCTTTGGTGACGGTGGATACGAGGAATTTGAGGCAAAGCCTCCATATTCTCCGTCTCTCCTCTGTAAAGACTCCCCTAACCAAGTCCTCTTGAGCAAAAACATCACCTATATCTACTCTCAGCCAGGTACGGCCTCCTTCCTGAACCTGTCAGATAAATTAGCACAGCTTGAGCTGAAGGATTACTTTTAGATAGTGTTTGACCAACATGCTGTGATCAGTTTTTGATGTGAATTGGCTTTACTTTAACTGAAACCTACATGTGTAAAGCAAAACAAAACAAAGGTTTTCATATTTCCATCCCTCTGATGACATCACATATACCATAAAAAACTGAAAAATTATTTTTAGTATATCCATTTGTTTTTTGTTTTCTTATCAATTTGCGTAGTTTTATAAAATTGCTCTTTATAAAATTGTTTACCTTTACAGTAGAACCCATGAGTCCTGGATTGTAAATCCATACATCATTACTGGACGTTTATTGTCAGTGTACATTTTTTGGTGGTAAAGATGAACCAGCAGAAATTGTCCTTCACAGCATTTTACTTAGAGCGGGTCCCTAAGGCCATAAAATGTATTATGATATAACGATTTCATACCAGTCTATTGGCAACTATTGATTAGTTTTTTGTTTAGAAATATCAGAAATACTGCCAAACTGTTGGTGTGACCTTTCCTGTTTTACCTACAATTTACACTTCACACTTTTATTTTTAAGCATTTATGAGGTACTGTGGCGAAACCTTAAGCCGCTGCGGTGCAAGTTACTTTGGTTACCTAGTTGTTGCTAGGAAACCAAAAAAGTGAGTGAGTGAGTCGATGCCACCAAGCTTGCTTAGTTGGCTGTGAGAGGTTGAAAGTCTGAATCCTTTCCTCTGCCTACATCCCCCAGAATGCTGTGCGGTTCTGGATTGGAGCCCATTGAAATTATTGTTGGACATATTTCCTATTAATATCAATATCAATTATCTATTGTGATATATACTGTTATCGACTTATCGTCCAGCCATAATTCAGCTCATTCTCTTGTGTTTCCCTCTTTGTGTACAGGTATCTACACAGCGCAGGTATCCGTATCCAATCGCTATGACAACATCAGCCAGAGCATCAACATGAGTGTTTACAGCATCCTGACTCATGTCGACATACAAACAGAGCGACAGTTCGTGCTTTTGGGCCAGTCGTCCTTCTTTGAGGCCCACCCTCTGCCTTCGCCGTATGGTATTCACTACGATTGGAACTTTGGGGATGGCACCGCCCTCAAAGGTCGCCGGGTGCCACACACCTTCGCACAGAGCGGCAACTTCAACGTCTGTGTGTCAGTGAACAACACCATCAGCTTCACGTCGACCTGTGCAGAGATATTTGTCTACGAGGAGATCGAGGGTCTGACAGCCAAAAGCTCCTCTCCCACAGAGCTCCAAAGCCCCACCAAGGTGTGGGCACAGCTCAGTTCTGGCAACAACATCACATGGATTTTCTCCATGGGGGACGGCACCGACCCTATAATCACATCTCAGCCTAACATATCGCACAACTACGTCAAAGAGGGCAACTACACGGTGAATGTGACCGCAATGAACGCAGTGAGCTTTGGCTGGATGCCCCTCTCCGTTCACGTGTACGTCTTCCAAGTCATTAGGATGGAGCCTTCAGGATGTGTCCAGGAGCGGACCAAAGTCAACTTTCAGGCCTGGGTATCCGGCAATGCAACGATTCACCATTACAATTGGAGTTTTGGGGACGGGAGCCCCAATGAGACGGTTCAGGGCAACTCCAGCGTCTCACACACCTACCAGCAGAATGGGAACTACCACCTCTCTCTGCTTCTCTCCAGTGGAGTCAACAAAGCCACCAAGGCTAATTTCTTCAACTGGGTGTGTGTGCAGCCAGCTGTGACTAATGTCAGCATCTTCCCTGAAAAATCACACTACGCAGTTGGAGAAGAAGTACATCTCAAAGTGACTGCTGAGCCAGAGTTCAATTACAGCTACCAGTGGGACTTTGGTAAAGGGGAGGATCCATTTTTCACCCATGGCTCTGGAAATGTAGCAAAGTATAAAAAGTCAGGTCACTATGTGATAACTGTTCATGTTTTCAACAACATCTCTGCCAATAACGCGAGTGTTGCCATTGACGTTCTGGTTCCCATTGGACCGATCTTGATTCGTCACAATGGGACAAAGCACAACAACTTGACACGAGGAGCTCCCTACACTTTCACATCCTCTTCCCTGGCCTCCGATGTTACTTACACGTGGAGTTTTGGAGATGAGCAAGTGCTTACTGGCCAGAGTATCCTCATTACATTCAACATCTCTGGGAAGTACAACATCACACTGAAAGCTGCCAATAGTGTTAGTCAGAATGAGACTTTTCTACTGGTTTCTGTGTTTGCGCCGATTTTAAGACTGAAAGTGAACGCTAGCTTAGTAAATGTCCCCTTGAATGACTCGGTCGACTTTGAGGCCTACAAGGAGGATGGAGACAGTGTAGACTACTCCTGGATTCTGTGTGACCGCTGCACCCCGATCCCAGGGACCAACAAAATGTTCTACACCTTTCGCTCCATTGGCACCTTCAACATCATTGTGATAGCGAAGAATGGCGTGGGAACAGCAAATGCAAGCATCTCCCTGTTTGTCCAACGGAAGCTGGAGGGCCTGCAGATTTTGGCAGAGGACATCAAAGGAGGCGGAAGCGCAGCGCTGGAAAGCTGTTGCTATGCAACAAACAGCGTTCTTCACCTTCAGGCGGGATTGAAGGAGGGCACCAACATGACATTTAGCTGGAACGTTGTCAGAGAGCAGGATACCGTCAGCTCATTCAACACGAGTGGGAAAATGGTGGAGCTGAATTTCTCGAAGCCAGGTCCCTGTAACATCTTTCTAAGAGCGGAGAACCTCCTGGGTCATCTTTTGGTCAACAAAACCATCTACTTTTTTGAACCACCTTCTGGTGTCGACCTAAAGATCAGCAACAACCCAGTTGCCACTGGAGCGTCAACAAACCTGACAGTCGAGGTCATGACAGGTTCAGATCTACAGTATCGGTGGTCTGTGAATGGAAAGAATCAGCCGTCGACCGAGCCCTGGTTGGCCTACACCTTCGATAGTCCAGGTCGAAAAGAAGTTTCAGTGGAGGTGTTCAATAAAGTTAGATCAACGAATAAGTCAAAGACCGTCGACGTCCAAGATATAATTTCTGGCTTAAGCTTCTCAAGATCCGATGACAATAACCGGAATCATGTTGAAACAGGAGTTGGCATCAAATTGGAGGGGGAGGTGAAGACGGGAACTGATGTGAGGTGGACGTGGCTGGTGGAAGGAACTACTAAATCAGAAAGGCAAACTTTTCTCAATTTTTCTGAGCCTAAAACAGTCACCGTTACTCTGAACGCCACCAACGACGTCAGCACTGAGGCCTTTTCAAGGGAGTTCTTTTTTCAGGACAGGATTAAAGTGGAACTGAAAGCGAGTAAGGACTATGCGGCAGTTAACGAAAAGGTGGAGTTCACACCTCTTCTGATAGGGGGTACGAACGTCAGTCTGACCCTCACCTTCAGCCCTGATGCAGAAATCAACCCGGAGCCAAACAAAACCTACACTCACGCCTTCAGCAAGGTGTACACTTACTACGTGAATCTGCAGGGATGCAACAAGGTAATGGAAACATAGATTGGTTTGTTGAAAACATACCTGTTCTCAAATCTTTAGAAAAATCTTTAAGAGCTTGCCTTGGATCTTATCACAGAAGTACCAAACGTATTGCATCATTCCAAGATAGTTTGTTGAGTCTTAAGTAATGCTTACATTGTGATTGTCCCAGAATAGACTTTTTTGTCCTTATTAGATCCAAGTAATTTCAGAGGCATCTAAGCAGTCCAATAATACATTTATTGTAATTTACAAGTCCCACCCATATCCCTGTGGCAAAATCGAACATAACGTTTCATTAACTGTACTTTCCAAACTTCAGTACCTTGATAAAGGTGATAGGTGGGGCTCCTTTATTCCCCACACCTTGCCAGTGAGTTATACAAATTAGGTCTTTCTGTGCATATCAGAAAACTTAAAGCCTTCTTCAACCACCTGATCAGTAGTATTCAGGAACACGTGGGGGAGAGACTAACTCTGTACAGTCTGTGGAAAATCAGGTTCCTCCTGCTGTTAATTAGGATTCTCATTGAAAAGACTTTTACCTGCTGCACCAGCCAATCCAGTCTCTCGTCTTCTGTGAACATCATTGTAAAGAGTGAAAGCGCTGGGATAAGATGAGAACATCTCCAGTTAACATTTTTCCACATTTTACATCATCTACAGTACTTCAGCCAGAGTTGTTCACTTCAAAGTTTGCATTAAGCAAAACTTCATGTAAAAGTAGCATTGGGAAAGTTGAACTTAATGGAGGCGTGAAAAAGAAGAACGACAGGTCTGTTTCAGATAAACTGCATGTGGATTAAGTAAATTGTGGGTTTCTCTTTGTTGTGCGTGACCCTGACTCTCTTTGACGTCGTTTGGTTTCTGTTCTTCTCATAATTTCCACTGACAACACATTCTCACCAATTGATGGCAAACACCTGCTTCCCATCTGATCAACAGCTACAAGCCTGTTATTTGAAGATACTTTGGATTTATATTTTGTATAGGATTATTTTTGATAATCCAACTTCAGATTCAATTTGAGTGATTTCCTGATTCCAGTAGCTAGGGCTGGTGACGGCTAGTAAAATGTAACTCATCTTTTTTAGAAAGGAGGTCAATCATTGTAATTGATTCATAATTTAACAAAGGACTCGGTTACATTTTCGCATAGTGTCACGTTGGTGTGGAGAGCTTCCCTGTCTCGTCACGTTGAAGGTCTTGCGTACGCTTTGGTTATTTTTGCTGACAGTAATATTTATTGGATGATATGAAAGCAAAACCAGAAATGAGGACATGATCAGATTTAACAGCACCAAACTTTGGTTGTCAGACTTCATGCTTGTGACTATTTGAACATTTTCATTTTCAGCTGTAGGAGGAAATTTCAGTTCAGCTTGTGACGTTTACTCCCTTCCTTTTTGTCTTCTTTCCTTCTGTCCTTGTTTACTTCCTTCTTTTCTTCCTGCTGTTCTTTCTTTCTTTCTTTCTTTCTTTCCTACTGTCCATGTTTGTTTCCTTCCCTCTTCGTATAACCATTAGTTCAAAATGTTGTGAAAGCTGCTCTTGTTTGTGAGTCTAACGGACAATGACTCAAAGTAAAGTATTTCTATTTCTTTTTGACACATCAGGTATCCTGTCATAATTACAAACTTCATATAGAAGTTGTGGAGCCGGTGAGTGGGCTTTCCATCCAGGGAGTCACCAAAGCCATCTCTGTGGGCGAGACAAAGTCGTACACGGCCAACATCGAGAAGGGGGATCCCGTTAGTTTCGTGTGGACGTTTGATCTGAATCAAAAGAAGGACACAGTTGTGGGCAAACAGGTTTGACTCCTCACACTTGAAGCATTCTCAGATTTTAAAATTAGTGTCAGAAACAGCACAGTCAACCCGCCAGAATGTTGACTTTTATCTCAACGACCTCAGGTACACTTCACTGCAGACAAGCCAGGCCTGTTGATCATCTTTCTGAGGGCTGTAAACAACGTGCAAGATCAGAACATCACTGAGTACATACAAGTGCAAAACCGGATGAGCTCCGCCGAGCTGTATGCGGTGCCGCAGGATACTTTTGTCAACAAGACAATCACTTTGATGGCCCATACTACGCCCACGTCCAGCCCAGTGGACTGCCTCTGGGACTTTGGGGACGGTTCTGTGAGAGTTGCCACCAAGACCACCGCCACCACTGTGCGCTACAGTCATCCAGGAAATTATCTGGTCCAAGTATGTACATCTCTATGTTATCTCTCCATCGATCACTGAAATAAGAAAGACAAAAAAAATTTAATAAATTCAAACCCCATAATCCTCTCCACATTTTGTCACCTTACAGCCACAAACATCATTGAATTTTGGGGGATTTTACTGACAAAGTAGGACCGGATTGTGAAGGGGAAGGAAAATGAATCAATGTCATTTATATTGAATTGATTTTTAGGTTTTGTACATCACAAATTAACTTGAGTAGAGAAACTGCAACATCACCAGGAGGAAAAGAATAAAATCTTTGCAAAGTTAGATAATTACACAAAATCAGGTTTGATAATTCAGTCAGTCACCAACATAGTTTTCAAAAGCTATGCCTTGCGACTTCAATCTAAAGAATATTCATTCGATTATGAAAACAGTGTCAAATCAACCCACTCATTTATCTTTGAAGTTTCCTTCTTAAACCATTTTTGAGTTGTGGTTTAACTCAAAATTGGCTATTTATTATTTGCTTAAACAAATAGCACTCTAAGTAGAAATTTATCTTTATCTAGAAATTTTGTAATCCTGGTCCATCCAAGCTACCCATAGATAGAACCACAAATTGAATTTTCCTTTTGAAGACTGCCTCCAGGACTTTGTGTATTTCTCTCCGAAATGAAACCACATGAGCTCAATCCCAAAAAATGTGAAAGTGATTTGCTCATGTAGATCCACAGAGTCTCCAACAAGTTGGCCCGACATGATTATTTAGTCTTTTGGGCCAGTGTGCAAAAGTAGCGGATCATATTCTTCCAGCTGAATTCCCTCCAGCAGGGGGCGCCTGTTGTGCTCCACTGTCTACACAGATTCCATGTACTTGACGTCACATTGCCCTTTGTTTCCATTTTGCTTTTATATGCACTGTTTTAGTTAACTGTAAAATTTGCAGTGATTACCAAATATAGCTTAGAGATGTAGCATAGAAATTGTATGTTCTTATACGCATTTTTGACAATATCAAAAGTGTCTTCACTGATATTAGAAACTTTTTGCTTATTTTTTTCTTCCCCAAAACGTTTCCGATTTGTAAGCATCTAAACTGGGGATAAATTTGGATTACAAATTTATCCCCAGAGTCCTGGGATCTTGTCACTTTGTCCTCTTTCAACAAAGTCCAGTATGTCGTGAGACCTTTTTTTGACCATGACGTGAATGTTGAATCTGTTTTACCAGGTAGGAACTCTAAGTTGCTAATAACGCATTCAGATGGAAACGTTTGCCTGTTCTGTCAGCTCCTGCTCAAATTGGAAACGGTCCAAACAGAGTCCGCTGTGGGATTCAAAATACACCTCATGTTGTTCTGTTTTAAAATAAAAACAAAGCATGACGGAGCAGAATCAACTTCTCATTTAAAAAGTTACTGGAAAGACAATCGGCCCTCTTGGAGAGAAAACTAAGGTTTTTAACAACCACTTATTGATTAATCATAGGATCAGTTAACGTTACATTAACTCATTAATCGATAACTTGCATCCCTAACGTCAACATTTGAATATTTTTTCAAGGTCCTTTTAGAAAGTCATTGATTTCACGGCTACTGAATGGTAAAAACCTTACATCCTGTCATGCCTGCCTGTCCCCTGCCAGGTGAACTGCAGCAACCTGGTGAGCTTGGTTTTGGCCGAGGTGGAGGTAAACATCAGAGTACTGGAGTGCGAGGAGCCAGAAGTGCAGATCTCTCAGTCCCGCCTGGTGGTCTGGCGCTCCCAGCCCATTTCAGTGGAAGCCAGCATGGACTTGAAGGGCTGCGTGCGCTACGGAGTTCAGTACCTCTGGCAGGTGTTCTCCAAGTTGACCTGCGAAGACAAATTAATGAAAGAGAGACCTTTACCTCCCGCGCCGGAGTCTCGGTTTCCTCCCAGCCGAGCCGTCCGCCTGCCTGTGGAGGTGGATGTGCGGCGGCTACAGCTGCAGCTGCCAAAGATGGCTTTGGCAGCAGGGAACTACTGCTTAGTGTTCTCTCTGTCGTACGAAGGCGTGCCGCTACGGAAAGCTGCCTGTCTGCAGCTCAGTATAATGACTGCTAAGTGAGTACAAAATCACACGATTCAAGTTTGTGCTTTTTCGGTTCTTACAGAGAACAAAATCTGCATGAAAGAGAGACGAGCTTGGCTCTGTGGCTTGATGATGCTCTTTTGGCTTTCTTGATCGCAGGACACTTTAAAAGTGAATACCTAAAACACACATATAGCAAATTAACTTAAATTCCTTACCAAACCACATCCATGCAATACACATATTCATCTGTTGAAATTAACAATTTCCCATCACTCCTGCAGCAACACGTTTGCAGCTTGTCCGCTGGTTTACTGACATTTTAATTCATCTTTCTTATCAGGTTGAAGCCCATTATTGAAGGAGGAACCCGCCGGGTGTGGTCCAGGACACGGGACCTGCAGCTCAGTGCAGAGCAATCCTACGACCCCAACATGGACCTAGACAACCAGTCTCTGCTGCGTTACCTCTGGGAGTGTGAAAGCACCTCTAAGGTATCTTACCGACACGTCTGACGTGCTGGAAGAGTGCTAATTAACCAACAGAGCGAAAGCTATGAGCAAGAGTTTTTGGTCTAGTTCAAGTGCAAATATCTTAGTACATTTGAAATGAGACAAAACGAGCTTACAGGTAACTTTTCGACAAGATATAGAAGCTTGTTTTAAATGGTTCCACTGGCAGATGATTTCACTTATAACAAGATATTTTTTTTATGTTATATGTTAAATAATCTGCCAGTGAAACTAGTTTTTTTTTATCAATATTAAGGAATTATTGGCTTAAAACAAGCTCATATATCTCACTGAAAAGTTACCTTTAAGTTAGATCTGTCTTAATTCAAGTGTACTAAGATATTATAAACTAAACCAAAAACACTTGGTAAGATTTTGTTTGTTTTCTTTCATCCATCTCTTCTGCTGCCCGTTGTTCACCTGGCAAATGCTTTCCTTTCGTACATTCATCTTATTTTTTAGTTGTGTGAAACACCAAAGTTTCACACAACTAAAGAGAATAAATTCATGAGACTTCAGATTGTTTAACTTGTAGCGACATCATGTGGTCAACATACACACATTTTTGTAAATTACTTGATTTAGCTCTGAAAAAAGGTGAACCTCCAATAATTAGACTTCACTTAAACATCTTTTGTAACTGCAACAGGCAGCATTTTGACCAATCAAAACTAAAGTACTAAAATTACAAAAATCCTCTAAAGTTTTAAAAGGTATTCTTTTCTTTTTTTTAAAAAAAAATCAGCATAAAAATGTGTTGACCTTGGTGACAAAGTTGAGTAATTATGTACATTTGTTGCATCTCGGTAGAAGTGTCCAGGTCCGGACTGCAACGTAAGTTTCGTTGGAAAATAATCATTAAATAAACTAAACTATTCCTTTCAGCTTTAGACTTAAAATGAATTTCTTAAATAATGTTAAAGCTGTATCCAGTTCTTAATTACATTTTGATAATGAAATGGCATGACAAAAACGTTTCATATCGTTCTCAGTCAAAGGAAAATTCTTTATAAACATTTACGGAAATCTTCCTCTAATCATTTCCACTGGTATTTTGATTATTTAACTTTAGTGATGAACTTCAAGTATAAGAGTATATTCCTCAGTGTGACTGCTATTAATTGAAAATCTGTTACATTAAAACACAGTTAATATTTCACAGTATAAACGGGAGCTTTGCACATGTAAAAGGTGAGTTGAATTAATGCACAGTAAATTTATTCTGGCATCTCTCTGTGCTTTGAATCTTTAACTTAAGCCACAGAAACAACAGACTTGAATTGTCAAACAAGTTAAACTTTTATTTAACTTTAGCTTCTAAGAATGAAGAATAACAAAGCAGAGCTGTGACGTGCGGCAAAGCGTGTCTCCGGTAAGCTGCTCCCTGCAAAGCAGCATTGACGTCAAACGGAGAAAATATCTGTCAGCGCATCTCTTAAATGTCCACTGTTGAAGGGGTTTGTGTTGATTTTGTGTTTTTTACATTCACTGCTGCCCTGCCAGAGGTTGCCGTGACGCATTAGGCTTCAGCAGCAGAAAATGAGAAGGGTGGGTCCAGCAGAGTGGAGCTACGTGTCCATCACGTAGCTACTGTGTCTCATTTTTAGATGTTGTGAAAACTTAACGGGTCAAGTGTTCAATCAGTTTTACACCAGTGAATGTGCTTTCTTGTAGAGTTGTGAATTTGTGCGCGCTGCTCTCTGGATCAGGCATTTAAAGGGTTACATAACTGTTTAGAGATAAAACTCAGCATTCCTCAGCCCGTGCTTTTGCTCCCCACCCCTGACAATTACACAGTCCACATCAACAGTATCGCGCACATTCGCACGCAGGCGCAAACACACCCCAGGCGCGGCTCAGGGAGTTTCAGTACATCAAGTCAAACCGTTATTTCTCAATCCATAATTCTGCCTCTTCTCTCGCCTTGTCTGTACTCTTGGAGAGTGTTACCTTATCCCAGTCGGAGCTCCTGTTTGTATTGAAACAAACGTAACGAAGCCATCTTCTGCTCCCAGGGTCCGGAGCACTGCTCCAGCCTGCACTTCAGCCTCGGTACGGATCCGGTGTTGGGAGTCTCCGGCTCGGAGCTGGAGGCAGGCGTGGAGTACACCTTCAAACTAACCATCAGCAAAGACGGCATGGCACCAGAGTCCACTACTCAGACTGTGAGTCCGCGCAAAACGTCCCCCACGCCAAGAAGCATCAGTTTTATTTTTATGCTGTGATGAGTGATCAATATATACGGAGGACCAATCCTGCCATATAAAACAATACCTGAGCAAGAAATGTAAAAAAGAAAGATGGAAATAATTATGTTTAGTGAAATCTGTTTGGTTAAAAAAAAAAATCCTAAAGAAGTATAAAAGGAGAAAATATATTGATGTTTAAGAGATAAAAGAAGAGTAAAATTATATGTTTAGGGGTGAAAAACACATTTTAAATGTATTTAGGTGGCAATTAATATGGAAGATAAAAGGGTCTGTGATAAATAAACAAAAAGAAAACTATACCATTCAAGAAAAAAGTGACTGGAAACTGTTGGTCTAAATAAAAAATAAGCATAGAAGCACAGAAATAAATTAGGAAACTTAAAAATTGAAATAGAAACATACATTTAAACCTAATTAATTGATCAATTGCTATGTAAATCTTTTCATTGTTTTGTTGCGTTTAATGACACTCTAATTTATTTCTGACTCATCCATTCCTAATTATGGTACGAGTGGTCCTCCATAAAATATGAACCTTTTTCAACGTAAAAGTAGAAAATCTGTGTTTTGATAAATCAAATTTTCTGACTGCGATCGCTCTGGATTTGAAACAGGTGCTTGTGCAGAGCGGCGACATTCCCATGGTGTATCTGGAGTGTGTGTCCTGTAAGGCCCAGTCCATTTACGAGGTCAGCCAGAACTCGTTTGTCTCCCTTAAAGGAACCTGCACCAACTGCCAGGGCTCTCAACGAGGGGTAAACGCACACACGTCAATTGACGGCACAGTGTTTCCATGTCCTGTCAGAGTGAAGTCAGCGTTTCCAGATCCTTCTCTTCCCTCTTACGTCTTCCCTTTGGATTTTTGTGCAGATGTGTGTATGTGTGTGAGAGGTAAATGAGGTCATTGTAATCCTGAGTGGAGCCGGAGAGGATGTGTTATGTCCAAACTAACACAAGGAAACCATTGGTCGAGTTGCTGGAGGTCAGGCGGTCCAAACCAGCTGGTTGCTGTCGGCTGCACAATAATATGGGTCAATTCTTAAACGCAGCTTTGGTTTCTGTTCTGTAGAGAGAAAAAAACAAAAACAAACTGCATTTGTTGTTGTTGGCATAAGTCTGGATCAGCCTGGATGTAAAACCGATCTGTTTTCTGGTGAACTGTGTGTCTCTCAGGGTTCCTACAAAGTCTTGAAAAGTAATAGAACATGATCGGTGTATTTCCCACCATCGAGTTATGATGGAAGCATAAAATATTAGATTATATTTAGAGTCTTTAGCCCATATATACTCTTAAATGGTGCATCCATCCACTGATGTTTCCAAATGCAGGTGTTTATTCAGCCAACTCTTCAATAACTCGAAACATCTGCAACGTTCTACTCACTGTTCAACAATTTAAAGGGAAAAAAGTTGTAACTTTTACCCATTTTTAATTAATAATAATTATAGTCTTTATTGTCCACAGATGTGGAAATTTGCCTCTGGCTTCACATGGTGGTTAAAAAAAACCCATAAAACACCCACAACACATAATAGGAACAAAACCACAATAACGTCAGAGATTGCTGGGATAAATGAGTTCTTGTAAATGTTCTTGGTTTCTCTTTACAGAGGGAAGCTTAACAAATTCCTTAAACTGTGGCTGACCTAAGTCAGTTCAATTCAATTTTATTCATACAGACCAAATTTACAGCAAATGTCATCTCAAGCAACTTTATTAAAAAAAAAATCTTTTAATTTATTCACTCTTACATACCAGTTGATCCCAGTTATCAAACAGTAATTATCTGTTTAATTAGGCTTTAATTTTTCAAAGTTGTTTGAAAAGTTTCTAATTTCTTGGACAGAGAGAAGGGTGACGATGTGTTTATTGCTTAAATGTTGTTAAACTATTCCTTAAATCTGTAACATGTGAAAGCGTGGCCTTTTATTAATCAGCTTATAAACCACC